TTTACCAGATCAAAGAATCCCAGCAATCAAGGAAGGGGAAAGAGAGCAATATACTCCCCTGCTTCACCTGAACCCTCTATTCATTCAACAGAAGCCAGGGGCTGATTGAACGTAATGGGTTGCTGCATCTCATGCGATTGGAAGAGCACGAGAAGGACAAGCTACTGACTTTATACTTCCTGTTCTATTGGAAGAGAGATGAGATTCCTTCGGGACAGACTCCATTCCGAATGCCAATAAGACCACTTCCTCAATCCTGAGCATCATTTAACTCAAGAGCCTTGCGGCACTCCCACTTCTACTGGATCTCAATCTATACACTTAGTGGAGCGCGAGCTTTATAACTATTTTCTGTGAGATGGGTGCCTTCACCTCTGTAAGAACCTTTATCTCGAAAGAGATTAAGTAAGGCAAGTTTCTGACCATTAATTCTGTAACAAAGGAGCGTAGTGGCAGGCTCGCATAGCTAAAGCCTTCAAGTCCTATTATCGGAGAGGGACTTTTTCCATTATTTATCCTATTTCCGATCGGACCTTGCCAATTCCTTTTCTATCCCTATATTCGAATTAGCCCGACTTGCCATTAGAGTGTTCTTTCAGACGTTGAGAGGAAGGGACCCGCGGACACACCATCAGAGCTAGATTTAGCTTTGGATCGATCAATTGCCCCAACCCCATCATCGAATGAGGTTAAGCGCGCCTTTCGGAGACTTTGATAAAGAATGCCTTCCTTCGGCGAACGGCTAGACACTTCTATAGTGGGATCTCTTGAACCTATGAAACTCGTGAAAGTGGGTGAACCCCTTGCCCCTTCTTATTGCTATTTGTGACGTCGAGTGCTTAAGTAAGATCAGCAGTCTGGCAGGTCCTTGGACGCTGGCCCTTAGTAGTCTAGTCTACTCGGACCTCTACTAGGGCTAGAGCTAGCCGGAAAAAGAAGGGGAAAAATAGGCGATTCGAATCCCCCTTCTTCTTCTTCCCACGAAACTGAAACTAAAGAATTCCTTGTAGGGTCAGCTTACCAATCGCTCTATTTTCTCTTTCCTGCCTACAGCTCACGACGTACTTTCCTTTCTTTGAGCGACTGACCTGGAACAGGCCTAAAGTGCGCAACTTATCCTTCTCTTCTCCGTTTCGTGGCTATCGGACCTGAACCCATTGAAAGTGAGAAAAGAAGTGTCGTAGCCTATCCTTCTATTCTCCATTGAGTGGTGAGGACCGTTATCCGTTGTTACTGAACCTGCTTGATTCGTTGTAGACTGCTTTCAAACCCCACTGAACTAAGAAAGAGTCTCGTATCGACCAAGTATTTACTTAGAATAGATCTGTTTTGATAGATCCGTTTTGGCTTTCCTATTCCATAGATCTTCCCTGAAGAACGGAATGGATTGATCTGACCCACAATCTGTCTCTTCAACCTTTGAGTAGACCATAGGCGGGACTCTCTTTCGCCTAGGCAGAGAGGAGGGAATGTAAGACGAGACTGATTCAAGAGTCTTGGACAGAAGGGAGGGGACGGAGACGGAGCTTCCTTCTTGCCTTTCATCATTTCAGGAAAGCTTATTTGAGCAGAGAATTTCCTTTTAGTACAATTTCTTTTCTCCTCATTTCTTTCATAGACAGAAAGGTAAGTAAAAACAACCCCGACATTAATAAACCACGAGCAAGTCAGATTGGGATCCCCAATGACAAGCGAACGGGCATTTTCGGGTCCAGAACAAACAAAAGAAGGGAAAGGCGGGTGGTTGAGACAGTGTAGTCCGTTTTCACAAGAGTACGGAGCTTCAAATTTGAGAACTCTGTTTCCTGTGGGAGGGCGAAAGCTAAGGAAGGCTGTTTCCAAGGGCGGCAGGCAGGATAAATAAGGTGTGTAAGGCAGGGCCAAAGAAGGTAGCATGGCTACTAGCGGCGAGACTACATGCTTCAATTTCATAAGTGGGTGAAGGAAGAATACCTGAGCTTCAAGCAAAGAAGGCGGGGACCTCGGGCCTTCGCAAAATCAACGGTCTCACCGGGAACTAGACAAGCACCTAGATGTAAATTCTCAGGCCCTAGCCCGAAATTCTTACTTCATTCATCACAGTTCCAGGCCCGTAGGAATGGCTTTCTCCTTCTCCAATTGTCGGGAGAGGTTTTCCGCTCCGGTCGTCCGGAATTTTTTTTCGTAAAAAAGAAAGTAAAAAACAAGTGAGGAACCCTGGAAATAAAATGTTTGTTCCGATAACGGGAAAGTTTATCCCTCTGATCTTAGTTGCGGCCCCCCGATCAAACTAGAGCGTAAGGGCGCTTTTTTGTTTGCATGAGTCCCGGCTTCTTTCCAACGGGCAGATGACATCTCTTGCCTGGTGAATCAGCATGTTCTAACACGTGTTGTTTGGTGTGAGTATGTATTTCATATTCGTTACAGGCCAATCGGGGCTAAAGAAGGTCCAACAACGTGCGATATGTGGATTTGATTCACCCTTAGTAATGAGAGGATTGGTCCTCTCATACCAGTGAATTGGGTCGCATACATTGGAGCAAGAGAGTACTGGCTCGCCGCTGTGGATGTAGGTGTTCCCATGAAACGAACCGGTGCCACATTCCGCTAGGATACTGGCTGGAGTTGGTCTCACCGTAGTGACGAGAGTTCCAGCTCGATGAATCACCCATTCCCTCTGTATGTCCAAGCGCCATCCACTTGTGAATACAACAACCTGCCCACCGTAATCAAGTAAGAGTTTCAATATTCACTAAGCTTCCTTTCAATTATCCCTATAATAAGGAAGACATAGTGCTTGTTGATGGCCACGATTCCAATATGGCCCTCTGACCTTTTTTCCCGTGAATAGCTCGGTTTATGTGCGTCTTAATCATGGCCACTAATCGACCGGTCACACTGGTCAGCGGCATTCATTCAGTTGTCCTGTTCAGATGGATGAGACAGTTCCCACTTGAAGCATGCTTCAAGTCTAGCTTTGAGACATTTACTGCAACCGGAACCTTCATTCCTTATTGTTGCAATTCCATGCTAGCAAGTTAGTTTCATGTCGACTTGCGGAACAATCACATCAATATACACGAAAATCGAAATTGGAACTGGAACTTGATAACGAACCTGGACTAACCCAGATAGAGTCGTGGACAACATGAATTCGTGACATACCGAGATTGATTCATTTCATCGATGGAAATGAGTCAAGTTACCTAACGTGACACACTATATACATCAGCAGAGATCACTACGGATTTGAACTTTAGCACCCCCTCTTGCTTGTTATTGTTAGGGGTAGATGAACAGAGCAGAACGACTTCTCGCTATGTTGTGCCTAGTAGTACCCGAAGCATTGACATTGAAAGAAGTCCCTCAAGCATTTAAAAAAGAACAAAGACAAGGGTTATACCTATTGGAGAATCCTTACTAGTCTCATCGATTACTCAAAATTCCACTCATACACAGGAAAGGAAAGAGATTGATACTTATACTGATATCGAGCTGGAAGAGCACT